CCTAGGGGGGGGGGGGACTCGATTTTTGTAGCGGCGGCCAGCCGGTAATAACTAGTTACAGGGTTATTTGCGGACCTCGTCGAGCGCCGCGCGCCCGCCGCGCGCGGCGCCGCCGCCCTGGAGCTGCTCCGCGAGCGGGACGACGGCCGACCGCGCCGCCGCGCCGATGTCCTCGCCGACGGCGAGGCCGAGGGAGATCTTGCCCGCCGCGGGCTTGGTAGCCACGGCGACGCACGCCAGCAGGCTCTGCCACGCGCTATTCAGCGCGCGCTTGATCGCGTCCGGGTCCAGCGCCTCCACCAGATGCGCGATACTCGACGACCCCGCGGCGGCGCGCGCGGCGGCCTGGGAGAGCTCCGCCGTCTCGCGCCGCAGCTTCGCGGCGGCCTTCTGGAAGTCCTTTTTATTCATCCGCCCCGCTTCGAACTCCGCCGCGGCCTTGGCGAAGACCTGTTTGACGTCGTCGGCCTCGCGCTCGAGCCTGTGCAGCGCCGCCTTCGTCTTCCGCAGCGTCGGCGCCTCGGCCTCGATGGCGTCGGACACGCTCTCGAAGCGCTCGGCGAGCTCCCTGCCGGCCTCGCGGAGCGACGGCAGCCCGCTCTGGCGGAACGTCTGGGCGAAGAGCAGGCACGTGCCGACTTCGCCGCCGTGGAAGAGCAGGCTCGCGCCGAGGACCGTCTTCGCCGCCAGGCCGTACTTGTCGACGCCGCGCTTGATGCGCCGGGCGCCCTGCCGCGCCCACTTGACGGCGCTCTCCCGGGCCTTGTCGAGGTCGACGTCGTCGAGGTTCTCGACGCGGCGCAGTAGACCACCGACCTCGGGCAGCGACGACGGCGTGCGCATGGCGCTGCAGGTGCAGAGGAGCAGGGCAGCCCCGAGCGTGGTGCGCATGGCGCTGCAGGTGCAGAGGAGCAGGGCAGCCCCGAGCGTGCGGAGTGCCATCGCAAGAATCCGGAAGCGACGGCAATATGCGTTCCCCTGGCCGATGTTGAAGTGAGTGATGCGGAGCATGGAAGGTTCGCGGAGCGGGCTGCCAATGCCTGCCTCGCATTCGAGTAGTCCTGGACAGAGAGAAGGCACGCGTGCAACGCGAGACCGACGGTTAGCGCCTCGGCAAGCTGGCGGCGGCACCAAGACCGGCCGCACGGCGACGCGGCGGACAGAGCCAACCGACGTCGCGCGCCTGCGGCGGCAGATCGGCGATCTCCGCGCGCGAGGCTATCGCGGGATGGGGGACAAGCTCGAGGCCGAGCACGGCCTGGGGCCCTCGCGGTGGCGCCGCGCGGCGCGCGCGGCGCTGACGCCGGCCGCCGCCGCGGGCGGGCTCGTCGGAGGCGCCGCGTACTACGCGTCCGCGTGCGCCGCGCTGGGCGTCCTGCAGGGCGCGCGTTTGGCGCGGGGCAGGGCGTTCGTCAACATGTTTCCCAACGGGTTCGACCGAGAGATGGACTCCGAGAC